AAAAGTGAAGTACTTAGACACTTTAAAATGTTCAAGGCAATGGCTGAAGCGCACTTTAACAAAAAGGTGAGTCGTTTCAGATGTGATAACGGCCGAGAGTATATTTCCAATGAAACAAGAGAATATTTCGAGAGTAACGGTATACAATATGAATTTACAATAAGGTATACTCCACAGCAAAACGGGGTTGCAGAACGTATGAACAGGACAGTTATAGAAAAGGCTCGATGTATGATACTTAATTCAAACACAAACAAACGTTTTTGGACGGAAGCAGTGCTGGCCGCTGTATACCTGATCAACCGTAGTTCAACATGTGCCTTGCAAGATAAAGTACCGGAGGAATTATGGTACGGTGAGCGACCAGATCTTCGGAAATTGAGGGTATTCGGAAGCATAGTCTATCTACATGTTCCCAAGGAAATTGTAGGAGGAAAATTTGAATCTCGTTCGAAGAAATGTCACATGATGGGATATTGTACTAACGGATATCGGTTGTGGTGTCCTGAGGATAATAAGCTACTTTTTGGTAGAGACGTCGTATTCGATGAAACGAAATTTAGTTTCGAAACTGACTACTTCTATGACAAAAGTCTGCCAAGTCAAACGGAAACGGAAGATAATGACAAATTGCGGACTGAAGGCGGAGGAGCAAGAGTTCTGGAAACCAGCGACGATACTGAAAATCTCAGCGAAATAGAGAATCGAGAGGACAAGGAACACTGGAAGAGGGCTGTACAAGAAGAGATAGATTCATTACAGAAAAACGAAACGTGGGATCTTGTGGAATTGCCGCCTGGAAAGAGAGTGATCGATAACAGATGGATATTTAAAATTAAAAGAGACGAGAATGGAGATATCGAGCATTATAAAGCACATTTAGTAGTCAAAGGGTGTTCACAACGAAAAGGTTTTGATTATTCAGAGACCTATGCACCAGTAGCTCGTTTGACCACGGTTCGAACTCTACTATCTGTTATTAATCACAGAGGTTTATTGGCGAGTCAAATGGACGTCAAGAACGCATTTCTTCATGGACACATCGAAGAGGAAATCTATATGAAGCAGCCAGAGGGTATCAATAACAAATCCAATCTTGTGTGCAAGTTAAACAAATACCTGTATGGATTGAAACAGGCGCCACGCGCTTGGAACGCTAGATTTGACGAGTTTGTGAGAAATCTGGGATTTAGAAGATCTGAAAATGATAAGTGTTTGTACATCCGTACGAATGGAAATTCCAAGATCTATCTGCTGCTGTATGTGGATGACATCATCATTGCTGGCGATAATGAAAAGGATTTACATAAATTAAAGGCCTGCCTGATGAACGAGTTCTCCATGAAAGACCTGGGAAAATTGCATAACTTTCTGGGTATTAAATTAGAAAGAACGAAAGCTGGAATGTTCTTAAGTCAAACAGCTTATATGAAGAATCTGTTGTCTCGTTTTAAAATGAACGAATGTAAAGCAGCGAAGACTCCGATGGAAGTCAAACCGTGGAAGGAGCAGGACAACCTGAATAAGGAAAGTTTGGAGTGCATCATCGAGAAGAAACCATATCGGGAACTCATCGGATGCCTCATGTACCTGATGTTGACAACAAGGCCGGACTTGAGTGCCTCAGTGAATTACTTCAGTCGCTTTCAGAGTAATGCCATTGATATGCACTGGAATGGTTTGAAACGAATTTTGCGTTACATAAAAGGCACGCTCAACTATGGACTCCTCTATCAGCCGTGTGGACGTGGAAACGGCGCAGCGCTGATAGGATATGCTGACTCAGACTGGGCAGGAGATGCAGATCGGAAATCGACGTCAGGGTTCCTGTTTCGGGTATACAACGCTACAGTATTATGGGCAACGCGTAAACAAACCACTGTAGCCCTGTCTTCTACAGAGGAGTACGTGGCATTGGCTAATGCTGCAACAGAACTGGTTTGGCTGCGAAATTTATTGCGTGATTTTGATGTAATTTTTGATGGTCCCATCGTAATTTTTGAAGACAATCAATCTTGCATTCATTTGCTTGACAAATGGGAACATCGTAGACTCAAACATATAGACGTAAAGTATAATTTTATCAGAGAACTGTTTACTAATAAAGTGATTGATGTTAAGTATGTTCCGTCGAAAGAACAAGTTGCGGATATTTTTACAAAAAGTTTGACTGGTGAGCACTTTATAAAATTGCGTGAATCACTTGGTATTACGGAAATGTAAAATTAGGTTATTGGTATTTTTTTGTTCTGTTTAAGATGTTTTATGTAGGTACGTCATTTTTGTGTTATATTGAGGCGGAGTGATAGATAGGCAATATATTAAAACGTCTTTGTGTTCTCTAAAACTCATCGCGCCTGCGTTTTAGGCCTGACTGTTTATTCCTTTTAGTTTGACCATCTAGGTTCAGTTTACGTTTATATTCTTTACCGATATAGAGGCCCTTACTTACTTCCTTCTTATACGCCAGAACGGCACGAGTACAATGTGTGTCGATAGCAATAAACTTTAAGTTTGTTTGAAGTGTTTTATGTCTTATTCTGCCCAAAACTATCCTGATAGAGGAGCGCTATTCTGTCACCTTTTATGTTACCGCGGCATAGTTTCAGTGTGAACGTTTTATAATATTGTGTCGTGCATTAATAATCGAGACTCGCGTATATGTTGCGGCCGTGTAGGGTGCGGGCGACCGTGGCCACGGTACCGTGGCGGTCTCGCCATCTTGTACGCTTGACGCGCATCGTCTCCGTGGGGTTGTTCCCTGGGCTTGGTGCCCTGTGACCGGGCGCTATTTCGTGGCGGCGTAGTGATGCGCGGCGGCATCGGGGCCATCGACTCCGCCGCCATTGTGGTTCGTCTTCGTGACGGGTGGACGATCGGTGCGCGCCCTCCACTTCGTTAAAAATAACCCTACCCACCCTATGTCAGAGGTGTGGAGTGGATCTCGTTTCACGTGGAAAGTTGCAAACCTATGTGGAACAGTACAATGGTGGAAGTACATGCGTGGGACAGTATGTTCCGCCCCCCCCTTCGGGGGGGCTCCACTTCGTTAAGATATAACCCTACCCACACTATGTCCGAGATGTGGAGTGGATCTCGCTTCACGTGGAAAGTCGTAAACCCATGTGGAATGGTACAATGGTGGAAGTACATGCGTGGGGACAGTATGTTATTTTCCGCCCCCCTTCGGGGGGGCTCCAATTCATTAAAATATGACCATACTCAAACCATATCTGAGGTATAGAGTAGATCTCGCTTGCTCGGTCAGTCTGCGCCGCGAGAAGAAGCGTGCGCGCGCGTGTGTGTTCAACCCGTACCGATTGGTGCGGGAGGGGGCAGATGTGACCTTGTAAATGAAAACGGTAGTTTGTTTATGATTTTAAAGGTAACTACACAGGCATTTTAATAAAAATTACTAAGAAAAAGTATTAAAAGTTTTAGTTTTCAATTTGTTATATCTCCTAAACCAATGCCGTCCTCCACTTTATTCTTGCGGGGAATTACTTAGAAAACTCTCTCCTACAACATACCTAAGTGACAACGAAATCGGTGAGGTGTGACCTATTCTGCATATTTACCTAATTATTATTCGGTAAATAATGTTACTATTTGTATTTTTAATTTCTTGAAAAGTGAAATCATAAGAAAACATGATAATTAATGCAGAATTTTAACGGTTTTCTTTAAAAATATTATTTTATATTCACTTTAACATTATTTTAGTATTTTTCACTAAATACTAAAATTATAGTTATAAAAATTAATTAATATTTTTAAGGAAAGACAACGAGATACCGCATTAATTATTATGATTTCATGTAAAATTTAATTTCAAGAAATTAAAAATGTTACTAAATAGTTATACCGTCATTTATCATATAATGTTAAATTTATACACTCGGAAAAACCCTATACTTGTAGTGTATTGTTCGTAAGGGTGGCCGTATGTCCGCTAGGATCCGATCAGGGGATCGATTATGAATTTTTTTACACACGTGAAAAGTGACTTTCTCCATTGCCTTCTTCTTCTATGTCCTTCGCTAGAAAAAGGCAATGGAGAAATTTTTCACTCTTCACGTGTGAAAAAATTTATGATCGACCTCCAGACTACTCATGTCTGATTGGATCTGAGCAAATACAGATTATTCTTGTCATATCTGACCTCGTCCGCCAGGATCAGATTAGATCTACTCATGGCTGAGTGGATCTGATCAGATATATGTATATTATTCTTATCCTATCTGATCTTTTTTTATTTTTCTCCGAGAGCAGGGGAGAAATGCTTTATGCATTCAACACGGGCAGCCGAACCCGTGGATATGCCCGGACTCACCCGAGAAGCGGGCATACCAGGCTAAAAAACCCCTCTCCTTGGACCCCCCTCCGCACTATAGGCGAGTCACCCCGGTGGACCTGTCGAAGGCATTACTTCGGAAGCGACCCGCCCAACAGTGGCAGGCTTTATAGCCTCCAATCACAGGCGGCCATCGAAACGCCCACCGTCCTAACCACACTCACTCATAAATAAATAAATAACAAATAAATAAATACATAAATAAATAGATACATTTAACCTCATACCAGATGGAAACACATCTCATTCATTCTTCTCCTTGTTAGGACGGCGGAGTGGGTGATCCACACGACAACAGACACTTTAGCCAGATGGTAACATTCAAATAAATAACTCCCCTATAGAGTAAAGGGCTAGGTGTTTCCTCCCATTAGGACAACCACACATCTGCTACTACGTGTACATACAATTAATAACTACACATACATTTATATATGTATTTATACGGACAGAACAGAACCGACAAGAACGCGATAGGTGTAACAAGAAAGATCCCACTGTTATAGAGTTACAATTATCGCCCGAACTTAGTAACACTAGCGCATTTAACAAAATCTCGCTGTGTATATAAGAAGCTACGCAGGCCTCACGCGCAGCCCTCTCTTCGTACCAGGGTACTTACATCTGTACCCAACGCAGTTTTATATCAGGCAATCGCAAAATATGTGTCCATAGGGCGGCTCCCCAAGGGGGCCGGCCAGACCTCCAAGATGCCCACATGATCCGCGGCCACGAAGCGCTCTCTGTCCCAGTTGTGCCAGATCTCGTCCGGAGAGTGGGTCTCCCCTTCCGGGAACAGCGAGTCCATCAGTTCCCCGAGTGTATCGGGGCTCAGAGTCTCCGATAGAGCGGGAGAAGACCTCCGAAGGCAGCCCATCACCATCTTATATGGCAGGCCCCACAGGTCGTCCTCTACTCCTAGTAGGAGTTCCTTCCATGCATTGGACTTTGCAATCTTGATCGCCTTCCGCAGAGTCCTTTTGGCTACCCGGTAGACTCTGTCCAGCTCTTCATTTGGGTTTCCAGACGCTCTTGCCCTCGAGCACTTCCTTCGAGCAGCGATGTACACTCTTCTTGTAGTGGCGACTTCCTCATTCCACCAATACGTTGTTCTCCTTGGTGGGCGAATGCCAGCCCTCCTGGCCGCAACATCGCAAGTATCGGAGATCCACGCTCCGACGTCGTCAGCCAAACAATCCGGCGAACGATTCGCGTCGAGACCGGAACTGAGGAACTCAAACGTTGACGCCAACAATTCAGCGTCCAGGCCTTTTATAGACCAGCGCGGGTATGGTTTCTTAATACTAATGTTCGCGCTATTTACATTATTTACAGGACGGTCACAAATTACGAACGCAATCAGTCTGTGGTCGGACAGCGTCTCCATATCGCAGATGACGCTCCAGTTTTTGACCTTGTCCGCGTACTGAGCCGAGACCCACGTGAGATCAACAATGGAGGATCCCTGGGGGCGCACACATGTGGGTTTGTTCCCTTTATTACAGAGGACCAGGTCGAGTTGGTCAGCCAAACCAAGGAGTACCTCCCCCTACGGTCGTCAGCGGGGGACCCCCAATATACTGATTTGGCGTTAAAGTCTCCACAAATAATGACGGGACCGCCAGCAGAGGCCACCGCGTCCGATAGTCTGTCAATAGCCTCTAAGAAACGCCCAATGCTAATGTTCGGGGATATGTATACCGATATCACTCGCACATCGCCGAAGCTCACTCCAATGATGTTATTAGAGCGGTGGAACACTACACAACCGGGCCCGACAAACTCCGGGCTCCACAATATGGCCGCAGTTGAGTCCGAACTCGAGATCCAATGGGCGTTGTCCGCGGGAATTCGCCATGGCTCAGCGAAGCAGCAGACACCTATTCTGTTTTCGAGAATATACTGCGTCATGAGGTCCTGTGACGCTCGGCTACGATTAATATTAACTTGGCAGAACCTAAGAGCCATAAGTCTGTCGAGTGGGTCCCGCTCTCCGATCGCGGGGTTGAGCACTGGGACAATTAATTGTACCTAACCTATGTTCCGGGTTCAACCCCTTGTCTCGACACACCACGCAACATGAGGGAAACGAACACTCCCTCAGCGCATGGTCTTCTCCTCCGCAGTTGAAACACGCTCGTCCTCTTTCTGTCGGCGAGCGACAGCCGCCCCTCACGTGACCGAAGTCCCAACAACGGAAGCACTGGACCGGTCGTGCCTTGAGGAGTACTATTTTCGCCATTGTCCATCCTACATTGATGGAACCCGCCGCCGCCAGTCGATTGGCTGCTGCCAAGGGGCACTGCACCCAAGCCGAGCACCCGGGGATCTTCTAAATGCGCCCACTTTGATGTCTCCGAGCGTGCAGCCGCCAATGTCGATTAATGCTGCCTGTAGTTTATCCGGAGAAATGGAACTATCCAGTCCGGAAACTCTCAGGCATCCGCCTTAGCTGAGCCATCTTCGCCAGAGATTTCAATTAGAAATCCTCTGTTAGCAGCAACCCTGATACGGGGTTTCATGATCCCCATATCCCATATCCCATATCCCATATCCATGATCCCGGTACGAGCTCGGATTCTGGCCGTCCGAGGACACCACGACCTCGGAGTCCGTGAAAAGAGCCATACTATTGGCTCTTAAAGGAGGACGGATTTGGATGTTCTCCACAATCTTTGGCACACCCTTCTCCATGGGTGGTGGACCGTCGTCGAAGGCCCTCTCCTTCAGGGCCGCAATGTCCCTCTGTAGATGCATGAGGATGCTCATCTCCTTGGTCAAGCTAGCCTCATAGTCCTCCAGCCTTTTGTTGGTCGATTGGTCCGTGGATTCCCCCGGTGGGGGCAGCGGCCTCAGTCAAGGCGCGAGACCCGTGCTTACGGGTAACGCGAGGCTTCACCGTCGGGACCGATGGTTGTTTCACCACGGGCGGCGCCATGGACCGGGTCGTCTCGCGAGGTGGATTTTGATCCGATCCTGTCCCTCAAAGCATTCAATTCCGCGCTTAATGCGGAAACACGCTTCTGTGAATCTTCCAACTCAGCCTTGAGTTGGCTCTCGGTTCTCTTGGCCATCCTCAGCTGACTTGACAGATCTTCATTCCGCTTCCGTAAAAAGGGAACGTCTCCGGCATCTTCCACCCTCTCGGAAAAGACCAAGATTACGTCTTTAAGAAGCGCGATGCGGTCTTTAATCGCACCCGAGATTCCGCCTTGGAGCTTGCTGCTCTTGATGCGCATCGCATCTATCTCTTCCAGCCACACCTTGGCCATGCCTGCTATCTCCGCGGAGGGCAAGGACGCGTAAGATTCTCTAGGGTCTTTTCTCAAGGCAGGAACCTCCGGACTGGGAACATTAACCCTGGGCTGGGCCGGATTTCTGCCTCTCCTGAGCCTCTTCTTCCTGGGCTTCCGGTTCCTTTGTCTGGGCGATGAGTCGTCCACCGGGCAGTCCTCAGAAGAAATCACTATTGGCTCGCCCACAGGGCGACCACCCGTCCCCTCCTCGGGCGGGGAGTCATCCGACGTCACTAGTGGACGGAGCCACTTAAGCTCCTCCTGACCGGCTCGGATTCCGATGAGATCACCTCCTGCGAGACCGCCTCGGGCGACTCCGGGGAATCCCTCTTTCTTTTAGCTGAGACTTCTATTTCCGCAGCTCTCGATCCCTCTGCCTCGCCAAACGATGCACTTGGAAGGTGGTCGATGTTTCCAGCTGCAATCGCCTTATCCGTCGTAGACAAAGGCAACTCCAATGGGTCCACCATCTCCTCGCAGCTCAGCATCTCCGCCGTGCTGCCGTCTTCCTCTTGAGTGGACAGAGCCGCCGATTTGTCAGTTAGATCAGTAATCCCCTTGCTTGTTAACGGCACGGTTAGCTCCTCAGGGTTACCAGGCCTGAGGAGTTCGTTCGGGGAAACGCCGTGCCGGTCGTCGGTGTTCCGAATCACCGACTGAGTGTTCTCTATTGTGCTCATGACGCCGCATAATGGGGTACACAGCACAAAAATCTCTAAGTCCGGGGACAGTCCGTTGCCATAAATCACTACACCTTAAATCGTGGTCCATAGACAGGCGGTCGTACCGAAGATCAGTCCAGCAACCCAGCCAGAACGCCGGTGCCAAACGACCCGACGCCCTGCCTGGGAGGTACCCCAACGCAAATATCCGGGCGAAATATTCGGTCGATGTGGAGGACACCCGGATCCTCCACATAAGCCTATTTACAATAGGGGGGCGGCCGGTACCCTACTGGGACCGTTTGCGACCACAAAATTAGTGTCCCTGTAGCCATGCCCCTCGACACGGTGCCTAACGCCTTAGGCTGGGACAGTAATTCCACAGTGTCGTAAATTACGACTATGGATCCCTCAACGCTATATGTATGTACAGTAGCGACTTAAAATTAGCGCACCATCGCATCTATATCTTACACTATTTACAGAAATCTTACAGCGATGTGGCAACAGTATATACAATCTATACCCTACAACGCATAACGCGCCTACAGGATTAAATCAGTGATAGTGACTTAAGTTTGACGCACCATCGCCTCTATATTCTACAGTACGCCTACTATTTACAGAACTAATTTAGCGATGATAACGTCCGCAGTCACACCGACTTCAGGGACGGACCTCGGTAAGAGCCATGCTCAACTACCTAGAAGGACAATCTAGTACGTCTTTAACAAGCCGCTCAGGACTTAGGTTAATCGATGAAAGGTGAACATCATACAAAGATGCCACAGTATATGATAGCCAGGGAATAACTACATCGCTACTCATACAAGACACCCGGGCTCTACCTTCGAAGCCTTTGTTTGCTACATGGGGTTTACCCCTTAAAACACGACACGACCGGGCCGGAGTCCCTAAGGACTTCTACAGCGATCACGCCGTTATCAAAAAACGTCACGATTCGATAAAGTCATGACGCACACAACCGTGGTTACCCCATTGGCGGCACTCGAGTTGGCCACGACACTATCCGGCTCATTTATATAGCCCGACGACTAAATTTTACATCCGAGAAAGTGCCAAGGGCCCCACGCCACGCAGCGGCAAGTCCCCGAACTCAGCAGCCAGAGTATCTCATATTAGGAAACGCAAACGCGTCGTCTGCGCCTCCGTAGGTCGAATCGTCCCGTGGTCAAAAATAATAAATTGCCGGAGAAACCAAACAATCTAAAATCTCCCTCAAATTCAGCCTACCCTCAGTGTTCGCGATTTTAACCAGTCCGACACGTTGGTCCCGCGGTAATCAAGCAGCTATATCTAAATTCCTCATGGTCATTATGGCCCAGGTGTCGTAAGAACACCGCCAATCGTACTCGAACAATACGGCGCGATCTGTCGCCTTATGGGCAGTTCTCAATTACATCTGCCCACGCCAGGCGGGCTCGAGATGCGTGTGAAACAACAGATGGTCCTTTACTCTCATTTACTGACGGCCAGCTCAAAGCGCATGAGCGCGAGCGCTCCGAACACCAAGATATTAATTCTCACGGAACTCTAATCTCTCGAAGAGTACGCGGTGTTTAATCTATGCTCACACACGCCGACTTCGGCAGGATATCCTTGTCATGCGTGCAACGCATCCAGGGAAGCCGGCACAACCCGCCGGACCATAGGCAGCACCTACCTCAGCCAATCCGAGCAGGCCAGTGACGTGCGCAGAG